AACATCACATGACAACATGCAAAATGTATTGTACCATATTTGGTATAGGGTATGTTATTCTTACATTAGATATGTGTTTTATAAATATTGACAAGTAGTAATCTATTTTTTTATAAATTTCTATGTCTTAGTATTAATGTACCGTGTGATAATAAAGAATATCTAACAATTAACTACTATTTCTGAGCTATTAAGACACAGAATAACATACTGTTAATTTGTGATTAAGATGTGTATACAGTTGCTGCAATATTAATCAGTATTAATATGTTTAATTTTTAGTATTATTTGGTACTGTTCTAATTCTAATCAATTTTTTGTTTATATTTTTTTCATAAATGTGACTTGCTGTCTTAGAATTATTGTTAAATTTAAGTTAGAGCTACGTGTCAAACTTTGCCTCGCATTGTAACTTTTTTTTAATAAATAACTATTAATATAATGAATTATTTATTTTCCAGTTAACCAACCTTAACAAATTTTAATACTATCACAAAGCAATATTTAAAGATTGACCTTTTTTTCAATCTATAAAAAATATTATGTTAATTTTACAGAGAAATTGTAAATATAGGGTTTTTGAAGGTGAATACACATACCAAGTTTGAACAATTTTGGACAAGCCGATTTTAAGTAATTTGCGAAAAACTGCATTTATTTTTAAATTAAATTTGAACAGAACCTTATAATTTTGTCAATGTCAAATGGTATTTTCTCTACATAAGGCTCTTGCCGCATTCGAACCAGTTTTAACTTACAAAAATGCATTTCGGTGAGACTAACCGTAGGTATTGCAACGTAGTAGTGTAGACAGCACAAAAAATTACATTGGACAATGATGAAATCATAGGTTGACGACTTAGGTATGTTGATATTTGAATGACATTTGACTGAAGTTTTAATTTAAGAATAGATGCAGTTTTTCTTAGATTACTTAAAATTGGCTTGTTCAAAATTGTTCAAATTTTGCCTGTGTATTCAGCATAGGAAGTCCTTTAAAAAACTATTTACGACTTAGCTGTAAAATTAATAGGGGAGCCAATATTTGGAAAGTTCAAAATTTTGCATGGGATTTCCTATATTTCCAACGACAATGCACCACCCCGTATATTTTACACAAATATTAGGTATATTGTACACAATAAGCACACAAAATATAAATATTTGGTTTTAAAAAGAGTTGTACAAAGATCCTATTAATATTTTATTAAATAATTGTTGTTCTAGTTGCTAAATGTACAAACATCAATATATTTTTTTCAAATTATCTAATAATATAATAAATAATAAAAGTAATATATTAGTGGTATTAGCAAGTTGTGCAATATTAACAACAGCAAGCACTAAATTAACTAAAATAGGAAAAAAAATTGAACAATATAGTAAATTGTGACATAAATCAATTAAGTAAATTGTCTTGTCTCTTATCGGTACACCTTATAATGACGTTATATAAATAAAATTATCTTGCCCCATGCTCGTAATCTTATCAATAATGTTTTATCATATCTTTAAGTCGAAATATACGCAATTTCGTAGAAATAGAAATGAAATCCACCATATAAATACTCTCTGTACTATATTTAACCGTATATACATACATACATACATACATACATACATACTGCCATTACTCGCTGACGAGTATTTGACACGTATCAGAAGATGCTTACGCAATGCGTTTCCTTTCAATGAGCTCTTCTGTGATTGAAAAGTCCGATACGCGTGACCTTATCCCTCTTCCGCACTCCGGACATTCAAAAATCTCATTGCTTTGTTGCCTCTTTACTTTTTGGTTGTTGCAATTCTGCTCCATTGCGTTCCATTGTTCATTGCTTCTTCCAATTCATTCTGCATGTTTATCCCCTTTAAGTTTTCGTCGAAAGTATCCTGGTACCTTTTGAGTTATCCACCAGGTTTCCCCTTACCGTCTACAAGTTCACCGTAAAACAAAGATGCTGTAATTTGCTAGGTGGTTTTCTTGCATTCTGCATACGAGACTAGCTCATCTTAAGCGGGATTTTGTAATCATGACTTCAATATTCTAGCAGCTAGCTTTTTCAAGGATAGATACGTTTGAGACATGGTGGAACCATTTGATTCTTAAGAGTTGTCTATAAGGTGCGAGGGGTGTCTCACTATTGGAATTACCTGTACATTTTCTTGGCAGTCGCTGGCAGTCATTGGCAGTCTTATGGCAGTCACCTATAATAATTACATGGCAGTCATAGGCAGTCTTCTTCATAGTCATTGGCAGTCGCTTAGCAGTGGAAGGGTATTTTGGCAGTACGTGTACATTTTTTACCCGAGTGAGACACCCCTCGATAAGGTGTCTTTGTTGCAACTTGTTAAATGCGTTCATGTGTCGGCGGTACGGCACCCAGGTTTTGCTTCCATATAACATGGTGGGGATTATTATTGCTCGGCACACTGCAAAAGAATATTATAGTTAACACACGTAGTAGAATTATCTTTGCTGCAAGTTTCGTTTTTGTGCTCAAGTCAAGTAGTTGTAGGAAACCCTGTCTTTTAATTTCCAGAATGCTCTTGAGGTGCTGCTAATCCTTTGATGAATTTCAGAGTCGATATTGGCCTTTTCCGAAATCAAATTGCCGAGGTAATTGAATTCGGCACATATTCCAATAGTTCTTCTCCTATTTTTATAGCATTTTAGTGATCTTCCGTAAGTAATATATCCGGGGGTAACTATCCGATTTTCTTAAATTGGATGGCAATACCAAAAGACTAAAATCAGAATAACCAACTATTTAAATAATTATATTATTGATTGATTCGTATATGTTGGATGATCATATTGTAATCATACTCGATTTCTGGCCAACTACGCTGTCCTGGTTGAAACCGGTTTGATCTATGCCTGCCAGTATATATAGCAAACTCCATAAGACAACGCATGGTGTCATTGATGACGTGCAACGAAAATTGTTTCAATTTCCCTATGCTAGTTTAGAGTAGGACAAGCTATTTCGGCCTGATTTAGAATTCAATATGCAGAAAAAAATAAATAATAATTATACCTTTAAAACAAAAAATGTTATAAGCAAATATTAATTAAATACTATGTTATCGTACGGTATTTATAGTGGTACATTTTTCATAATATTTTTTTTAAACATCAAATATCTTAATATAATAATAATAATCGCTAATTTTTTTCACGCGCTTTAATACAGCGGTACGTCAAAAAGTAATACATATAATTACTTAACTTCAAATACAAGTGTTGAATTTGTGGCTTTAAAAATACGGTCCTTCAATGTTTTTACAAAATGACACAATATAATTTATTACATTATTCAATCAGAGTGATAATGTATCATACTTTTTAATTGTCAACCAAAAGCTACAAATTGATTGTGACTTGTAACTTAGTGTCCTAATGGATAGCACAAACACCCTGGTTACATAAATTATGTTTGCCCGTAACTGTATCACTAATATTTTGAAAAAACAAATATTGGTAGGATACTTTAGTGTAGCGTTTTTAAACCATTACTTTCATGTTTGAGTTTTGTTGGTACCAAACGAACAAATTATTTTAAGGGTAAGTTAAAATTTATGACTAATACTAATATTACATGTAAATATCAGTTTAGTTTTCAGAGATCGTAGCATTATATATTTTACAGCCAATTTCTGTTTCACAATATTGTAATCTTAAATAGATGTACATATAAAAAAAAAATATTTTTGAGGTAAAGCCAATCCAGCTTAACAAACTATAGCGATCAAACCCGATTTTTTAAATGTATAAAAATTAATGTAAACTGTTATATCAAATATCTGATTATACTGGTATAATAATAGTATTCACTTACTTACTTACTTACTGCCATTACTTCCTGACGAGTATTTGACGCGCATCAGAAGATGGTTATGCAAGGTGTTTTCTTTCTGTGACTGAAAAGCCCAATACGTGATGTTATCTTTCTTCCGCACTCCAGATATTTAAAAATCTCATTGCTTTGTTGCCTCTTTGCTTTTTGGTTGTCGCTGTTAATTGAGTTTACAATACTTCTCCATTGAGTTGTATTGTGAACTGTTTCTTCCCCACTCATTCTGCATGTTAATCCCCTTTAAGTTTTCGTGGAAAATGTCCTTGTATATTTTGAGTTATCCACCCGGTTTCCTCTTACCCTCTACAAGTTCACCGTAAAGCAGAGATTTTAGTCTGCGGTTTTCTGGCATTCTGCATACGTGACCAGCCCATCTTAAGCGGGATTTAGTAACCATGACTTCAGCGCTCTCGCAGCTTGCTTTTTCAAGGACTGATACGTTTGAGACATGGTGATACCATTTGATTCTTAACAGTTGTCTAAGGTGTCTGTTGCAACTTGTTTAATGCGCTCGTGTGTCGGCGGTACGGCACCCAGGTTTCGCTTCCATATAATATGGTGGGGATTATTATTGCCCGGTACACTGCAAGTGTCGTTTTTGTGCTCAAGTCATGATTGTAGAAAACCCTGTCTTTTAATTTCCAGAATGCTCTTGGGGCGCTGTTAATTCTGTGCTGAATGTCAGAGTCGATATTGACGACCTTTTCCGAAATTAAACTGTCGAGGTAATTGAATTCCGCTACGTATTCTAATAGTTCTTCTCCGATTTTTATATTGCATTCACAAATCATTTTCAAAAAAACTTAAGTCTTAAGTCGGATTTCGAAAAATGACTTAAAATTAAATGACTTAAGTCATTAAAATGATTAAAATCAAAAAAAGATTTAAGTTTTCTGTGAGCTTACAGCTCTGCAAGGGAATCTAATAAGTAACTGCAATTAACATTTTACCAACACAATAAGTTGTTTTTTTTATTAAAGTCTTTAATTTTGTAATTACAAAAATAAAATATAAAAAATGTAACAGGTTAAAAAATTAATCAAACCAATTGTTGAACTTTAGGATTAGAGTAAATTCCCAACATTTATAATTTAAAAAAGAGTTAAATACTAAAAATAATATCTCGATATATTAATTATCATGATGACCGTAAATCTGTTATGGCCCAAATTTATGTTTTGACTACCAGAACTTTAAAAGATCGATATCTCATTCTCCCAAAACCGCTCCACTATTTCTTTATCCAGCCATATTTACTGATTTAAAAAAGAGTATGCATTTTTGTTTTAGTTCTTATTAGTAATTATTAAGCATTTTGACGGTAGTTTTTGTCCAGAAGCAAGTCCACTAAATAATATGTTCAGGCAGTTGTTTGTTATTATTGTGATTTTCTGTCTTTTAACTGATTGCGACAGTGAACATCACTTATCCAAACGATCATTTTATCTATTATTTCCACGAAATACAGTCTTACAGGTAAGAGAATTAAGTAATGCTAGTTTTTAATCTCTGCAACATAATGACAGCACCTGATAACGTGAAAAAAGACTTTTGTTTAGTGGTTTTACCATTAGCGTAACTAGCAATTTATCCTGGGGTGGGCCTGGTGTTGAGCCCAGGGGAGCCTAGGGCGTTTGTTTTCTTAAAAATGAAAAATAATTTAAAAAAACACACTTTTTGAATAAAACGTTTACATGAATTTCACTATCAATAAATTTCATAGACTTGGTTATCAAACCGTGTTCCCGTAGATTACTTAAATACCTACAAATTTAAAAAAAAAAAATATTAACAAATTTTTTAAACACAACAAAATAATATTAACTAAACAAAACTAGAAAACGTCATTTTTACTGCATCACAAGCAAATAAAAATTAATACGTAGCCAAGAGTCATAATTCAGGATTTCTCTGGGGGGTGCCCAGCTGTAAATGGGGGGGGGGGCCGGCATCCCCGATCACCCCCAGTAGTTACGCCAATGGGTTTTACTAAAACTGTTTATGTTAGGATAAATGCAGCAATATTTTTTGATCTTTGTCTTATGACTGTGATAAATTTTGACCAGTTGATGGTTCGTTTTGATGGTCTTTTTAAGCCAGACTTCAAGAAAAACATATGCTAGAACTCATACCCAAAGGCATCGATATAAGTAATCATCCAAGTTGCAGAACATCGTCTGAGCCAACTATAAACATCCAACGCATAATCCAAGAGGTCTTATTGCACTTCATCAAAATCTTATTGCAGAAGGACATGCCTACAGATTACTTTGAACCATCAACTGGTCTCGAAACGTTAGTGTTGTGGTTAATAATTGATGGTTAATTCTTAAGAAGGGTTTTAGTTTTAGCCAAATCAGTGGAAAAATTAAATATGCAGGGTGTTTAAAAAAACATGTGCCATCTCTCGTGAGGAGATTTCTCACATAAAAATATTATTTATTTTTTATATCAATATAGGTCCGATTCTGCTTTGTTTTGTAGCTGCAGGGGGTTAAAGTATTCATTGTTTTTCGTTTATTATAATTTTTATTCAAGTGCTTTTGGCGATTTGATTGAAATTTTGAGGGTAAAAGTTACTTTAAGTGCGATATATTTTAAACCTAAAAAAAATTTGATTGGAATACTTTTCTGAATAAAAGATGTGCGCTACTGTCTTTTTTTTTCTCTTGTTGCCAAAATTGTGAAGGCCGTTTAATGCTGGTTAAAAGTATTATCATGATGTTTTGTCAATTTTGGCGTTCTTGCTGCAATAAACGCAGATTTATTAACTTGCCTTAATTCACGTCTACACCTTTAAAATTTTTTAATGTCATGAACTGGTCAAAGTGTTAAATAAGTACTTATTGATTCCTCATCAAAAAATATGAAAAAAGTTGCTATAAATATGGGTGCGGAAATGCATAGTTTGGTGCAGTTAGAAGTAGTAGTAGATAGAGTTAGTGGTAGGTTATTAAAATATACACTTTGTCAATTTTAAAAGTTCCCACCCTTAATATCTTTCTTGCAGTTAAAATTATGAAAAATCGGAAAGACACGTCAATTTTATTTGTAAGGGGGGCACTTTAAATGAATATTTTTAGCCTTTTTCTTTCAACCCCCTAGGAGGGGTAGATGTCACCCTTACAATCTCAAATGGGGAAATGGGGGTCAAGTGGCACAACATTTTAAAAAAGGTTTAATTCTCTTTTTAGTGGTATCCTACTTTGTTGCTTTTTTTCCAGAGATTTCCGAATAATATCTTCCGAATAAATATGTCTGTATTGAGATTTTGGTTTTCAGACTAGTGTTTACACAAAAATTATTGCAGTGGATCTCCTTGTAGTACAAATGATTAGAATATTAGGTTACGCCACTTACGCCCTATCTTATAAGTTGTTCAAAATGTTTTCCATTTTCCTATAAACAATAATAGAGTCTGTTTTCAAATTCCTCCCTAACTTCACCGGGGATTGACTGCAATTCGCCTTTTAAAATCATCAATATTAGTAGGTTGTTTTATAAAGATTGGATTTAAGATGTCCCCAAAGAAAGAAATCTAAAGGTGTTAAATCCGGTGATCTTGGAGGCCATTCAATTGGTCCACTTCTGTCAATCCACGTACCCGGAAATCTCTAGTTTAACCACTGTCGGACCGGAAGAAAATGAGGTGGAGCACCGTCCTTCTGGAATGTTAACAAATCCTCCTGTAAAACTGGATTACCCTCTGCATCAATTTGAGTTTCTAACTCTTGAATGATAGGCACGTCCCTGTTAAATCTGTCGACACTTTTTAACATTAAAATATCTCTTTAAAAACACTTAAATTATAATAAACCGGTAGCATCCTTTAGCCAAGCTGTTCGTATGGAATTCGGTATGGAAAAATGTGCATTCTTGCACTGTAAAAAAGGGAAAATCCAAGAATCTAACGAGATTATTTTAACTAATGAAATAACATTCTCACCGTTACATCTGGGTGAAACCTACAAATATCTTGGCTCATCTATCAAGCTCTAAAAATTGATGATGGAGTAATAAAAAAGACTGCGGAGGATGCATTTATGAAGAGGGTTTGTAAAGTCTTGGGAACAGAGCTTCATGCGAAGAATAAAATAGCTGCGATCAATGTGCGGGCAGCACCTGTAATTCTTAATACATTCGGAGTTCTAAAATGGTCACAAACCGACCTGGAGTCTCTCCATAGGAAAGTCAGAACATCAATGACAAGGCACCGAATGCACCACCCCCATGCTTCAACCATTAGACTCTACATGCCAGGGACAAAGGTGGAAGAGGAATTATTAGTCTCATTGCTATGCATGAAAAGCACATCAGAAGTCTGCAGCATTACTTTGACCAATCAAATGACCCTCTCCTTTCAGCTATTAAGACCGCCGACAGGAATTTCACACCTTTAAACTTAGCAGGTCAAAGATTACCTGCAGGTACTATGGGTGCTGAGGAACTAATCGAAGAGTGGAAAGGGAAAGCCTTGCACGGAAGATATCCATCCAACTTATATAACCCAGACGTTGACCGAAATCTGTCATTACTACATTATTGTTTTCTCAGAGATGGAGAGCTCAGAGCTGAGACCAAAGGATTTATTATAGCTATACAAGACCAGCAAATACCAACTAAAATTTCCTAAAAATAATAGTCGCAACCAAAAAGGACTTACCTAATGACAGATGCTGACCATGCAATGCCTTTCCGGAAACAATTCAACACATCTGCTCTGGATGTACCTATCTTGCACCGCGGCATTATCTGGACAGGCACAACCGGGTGCCTACCAATACTTACCTGAAAAAATAGTAGAAAACGAAAACGTAAAAGTATACTGGGATACTGACATCATCACAGATCGTACTGTGCAGCATAATAGACCTGATATAGTAGTCTTCTATAAAAAAACAAAAACATGCTTACCTGCTGGATATCACAATACCACTAGACGAAAATATTAAAAATGCAAGAAAAGAGAAAATCACAAAATATGAAGCACTGGCGCAAGAACTAAAAGCGATATACGATTTGAGCCAAGACTTTTATATTACCAATAATACTTACCTGTAACGGCCTAGTATACGTAAACCTTGTTCAAAGCCTTAAAAACTCCAACTTCACAACCCGGAAAGAATCATCTCTACCATGCAGAAGTCCACAATTCTTTCTACCTGTTCTATCGTTCGCAGTGTGTTGAACCACCATTAGGCCGTTGATAAGAATTATCCCGACTTAGTCGTTAAAACCGGCTTTAAGCTGAGAGAAAAAAAATATATATATATATATATCACCCTGTAGTTACCAAACAAAGCAGAATCGGACCTATGCATGTTGATATAAAAAAATAAATCATATTTTTATGTGAACAATCTCCCCACGTGAGATGGCACATGTTTTTTTGAAACACTCTGTATTAACTACAAATTTTTTAGTTCACTTATGGATTGTCAGTGCCATTCATCTTGCCAAGAAGATCCATAAATCTTACATGGGGATTTCAGTCGCAGTACAACTTGCCAAAAAATATAAGCGACTTTGTTCCAAATACGATAGCTGTGAGATCTAATACCATGAACTTTGATTTACCAAGAGTAAAATTTTACGATTACCTCTCAAAAATTTTAACTAGGTAAGTTATTTTTTTTAAATAATTAAACTAAATCTGAAAATTAAGTTTATTTCTATTTTTTAATGTTTTACTGCTAAATTATTGTTTTTTTACTTGTTAAAATACAAAAAAGTTTTTTTTGAACGAATATGCATATATTACAAATTCCCAATTTAATTTAAAAAAGACAATAAAGATTATACATAATTAATTAGGTCCTACTTGAGTACCTAAATGAGTAAGCCTCTATAAAAATTAATCCATTTTATCCTGTCGTGAATCTTAATACTTGTATATTTTTTAAGATATATGTTTACTAATGGAAATTTTAGAAATATTTTAATAATTAGGTTATGTTATATACGAAACCAATGACTAAAGAATATAAGGACATGTAACGCCGGTATACGGGCTGCAGCAGAATTTGTGACCTTAGACGCCATTCTTTTGATGGCAAGGAATGAGTCATCAGCTGGTCACCAGCGACAATTTTAGCGATTTTTAATAGTTTGTGTGTAGTGAACCTTGTATAAACTTTATTACAATGGTGATTAGTTGTTCAGCTTCCAAGTGTAAAAGAAGCAGCGATAAGAAAAAGTCAGGTGTTATGTTTCATAGGTAAATAAACAGTCCTCTCCACCTTTTTAGCGTTTTCTTAGTTTTCTTATTGAATTCGATAATTATTTTTCTGATATTATATGTACTTGCTGTGTGCTATACGTTGATACACTAGTTTTGTACATTTTTTTAACATTTTAATACGTTTTTTTCGTAATTAATTAGTATGATACCACTGTATACACCATAGGCGTAGTCAAAACATTTATCAAAAAATATAAATATCTCTTCAAACAACTAGGTTAAGAAAATTGGTGACAATGTAACAATTTGCTCTCGGGTGTTATTTGTCCTTGGATTCTTTAGTCATTGTACGAAACAAAGTAATTAAGGAGGATTTTTCATTTTATGAGCTCTTTTCCTCATAAGTTATCAATCTTAGTTAAGGTATCTAATTTATTTTTTCAACTGGATATGGCTTAGAAGTGAAGCTTGTTTTTGGTTGCTTCTATTTTTTGACAAGTTTTGTCTAGATATTGCCCCTAGAGGCTCGTAAAAATTATTATCGATTGTCATTCCCAATCCGTTTATGTCGCCGTTGTTTTTTCGATCATACGATATATTTCATACAAGATTATGAAATAGTCATATAGAGTGCCAAATCAAATCTTGATCTGTTGTGCCCTTGTTTTGGTTAAACTCATTGATAAAGCTGTTACGTCATAATTATGCATTTCAACTCTATGCTGGGGTTAGAAGCATAATATGAGGAGATCTTACAAACTCTCTGAACAATAATAATAATGTTAAAAAAAGATATGATAACAGTAAAGAAATAAACAGTTTTATGCATTCTATCCATAGACTTAAAATAAAATATAGACTACACTATTTACATCTCAACGCGGACAAACAATATTTTTTGTACACATGTTTACTTCTGGGTACAGTCGACCGAGCCTTCCTCATCCAGCCTATGTTGTCACGTCTTTAATATTATCAATATTTTTTTTCTTGTTATACACATATATTGAGATATTAATACTACAGTTTAATAAAGTAGGTTTTAATATTCCACAGATGTATTAAATAGTCCTTATACTACTAAATTATAAGTCGGATACTGTTTAAAAAGGATAAGTTCTTGACAATATGACAACACCGATTAGAGGCGAGGGAGCCTATTCATTCATTTATTACCTTGTAGTACGTGTCGCACGTGTGCGGTAAAGCTTTGTTGCCGCTATCTCCCCGGCTGTATTAACGCATTTTCTTAGCTTGTAGTCCTTAAGTGTTTATTTTATTGACTTTTTCTGTTCAAGAACTATAAAATATGGTTTGCCAGTGCCAAATTTGCAAGAAATTTGACTTAAATAATCCATTTAAGTCTTGAAACGACTTTTGACCGGTAGGCAACTCTCAATTTACCCATTGGGAGTCAGTGGCGTTGTTGTAGAAAGGCGCTTATTTAGATAATATTTTAGTAAAATGTAAAATCTGAATTTTTTCTCTTACATTACATTATTTACTTACTCACATTGTAACAAAATCATAATTATAACCCTGTTAATAATTAATAATGTTTTTATTAAAATATATTCCGGTTTATTCTAAAATTATCAAATCAGAATCTAAAATAACATACAAGAATTTTAAAATGATATTACATTATGAAACAATATTTTTAATATACCGGGTCGTCTCAAAGTGGCTCACCCCTATAACTTTTTATTTTTCAGATAAAAAAAACAGATTTGTATGTTAGTAGGTATATGACATAAATTAGGATTTATTGACGTATTCAATTGTTTTGGTCTCTTCCTGTTTCACCGAAATGATTACATCTTTTGATTTTTAAAGGCACCCTCGGTATATTGCTACTTTATTCGATAAAAATGACACTCTGAATAGAATGACATATCATATGTCAACTTTTGACATTGTCGCTTAAAAACAAATCCTATTTTAAATTTCAATCCAGGGTGCCATGTTGTTGTTAAAAACACTAAGTTTTAATCAAGGAGCCTTGGAAAAATAGTTTTGATCGTCTAATAGGTTTCGTGTCTTGTCTAGGCCGGTTAAAAGATGTACATATCGTATTTTTAATCATACATATGTCAATTTTTTCAAATGGAACAAGGGTGACTCGTTAGCATATTTGGAAAAAGCATTTTTTTATGAATATATTGATACCACACACTTGGTATTTCGAGTCAAATTGTCGTTATGAACCGCGTGTTACAATTACAATTAAACCATATGCGAAAATGTCAAAGTTGACATATCATATGTCATTCTATTCAGAGTGTCATTTTCTATCGAATAAAGTAGAAATATACCAAGGGTGCCGTTTAAAAATTAAAAGTTATAGTCATTTCCGATGAAACAGGAAGTGACCAAAACAATTGAATGCGTCAATCAATCCTAATTTATGTCATATACTAACATACTAAATCTTAGTTTTTTATTTGAAAATATAAAAAAATTATGGGGGATGAGCCATTTTTGGGACGCACCCGGTATAATAAAGACAGTACCGAGTTAAATATATGTAGTTTTCATTTTATCCACTTCCTATCACCTTCCTTGCTTTAATGGATTGGATTTATGTTTTCTCTAATTTACATAAGACATAACTTAACCAGAAAAAAAATTACAACAATCATATATTATTTTTTTCTCTCCCTGTCGCCGATTCTATTATATCTGTGGAATAGATCCTGTTTTGATTAATATTAGGGGTTGTAAATGTTTGAATAAAATTAATAATTTATTATTAATTTCAAAAATTACGTAATTTCGATTATTTCGATTATATTTTATAATTTTTATCCTTTTTGGACTCTAAAACGTTTTTTTCTAAACTTTTATTTAAAAAAAACCTCTCCTAAATCTTAATAAAATATAAAAAAGTTTAAATACGATATATTTTTAATTTAATTATAGCTTCATTAAAATAAAAAAATTACCCGGCTATGATGATTACCCGGCTACGGAGAGTTCAGGTGTACTTGAGAAACGAAAGACAGTGTTGTGTTTCTCGGCAGAGTCGTCAGGGAACGACCGTTACGACAGAGACAACCTATCTATCGCTCGTGTCGCACTCGTTATAACCTAAAACAATAACACAACAATAACAAGACAGTGTCTGACCGCATGTTCCAGCTATTTATGAATGAGATGGTCAGTCTATATTTTATTTTAAGTCTATGATTCTATCATATATATATATATATATATATATATATATATATATATATATATATATATATATATATATATATATATATATATATATATATATATATATATATATATAAACTTTTTAGCTTTGGATTGCACGGAAGACAATGCATCTACAGGTCAATATGTGAGATAGCTGAAATACCAATGTACAAAAAAGATGATTCTACTCTTGAAAGAATTGTAGAGTTCTTATTTACGTAAGTATTATTTGCTTGTGTAAATTTTATCCCATCAAAAACATAGAATGTAAAATATGTCAAGTCTCGGAACGCAATCCTTCTACTACAAAGTGTTGTAGCATCTCATGTAAAACCAAGACAGTTTATTTAGTTTCTATGGAAGATTATTTCTATTCAACAATCTTGTTATAAATTGTTAGTATCAATATTAGACATCTTTGTTTCTGTCATAATTATAATGACTTCGCAATTGCACGATACGGTTTTCTACTAAATAAAATACTTTATTTAAAACCACATATGTAATACTACTATTACTGACTTTTAAAAAATTTGAAAGTGTCAAATAATCTACATTTCTTCCCATTTTCCTCACTGGGTTTTTCTTATTTCTCGCCTCATTTAATTAAGCAAATTAAAAAAAAATGAAAGCAAAAATTCTTGTAATATCTTTATTAAATACTTATCTAACATCAACAAAAATAAACAAGAATATTAACAATTAGCATTGTCCGTATCATGCTGTATGTAGCTCAAAGAGTAGATGGCTTTTTCTGCCTTGCCATGTTGCTAAAATATGCCATCAAGACTGTCTCCGAAGCAATATTCTTAGCATTTCTTTCGGCACACCATTTTTCGTATACTTTCAATGCTATTTCATATCGCCCCCTACTTTTCTCTGGAAGTAAACTGGCTTCTGCTCTTTTTGCAGCTTCTGTAAGTTCTGGTGGAGTACCAATATTAAAGTAGTCTTTATTATCAGAATTTTCCGACAACATTCTGGCTTTCTATGTTAATATAAATTCGAAAAAGTGAACGATAAATTCAAAACTGTCACTTGGTTGTTTGTTTTGCTGTTGAAGGTTTGCGCCATAACAACCACTGGTACCGGTAACTATAGATATGGAAATACCAAAACAGAAAAAGACAATTTTTTTTTCAAAATAAAATACTGTCCTTATTTTTTAATTAATAATGTGGTTGTAAATAAAATAGTATACAAAACTCGGAGGAAAGTTTTCATTATTGTCTCTTCTTCTTCTTCGGGTTCCATCTCCTAATGGAGGTTGGATATCATCATGGCAATTCTAACTTTGTTAACGGCTGCTCTGAATAACTGGTTTGAAGTCATTCCAAACCATTCCCTCAAATTCTTGAGTCATGATGTTCTTCTTCTTCCTTGTTCTTCTTCTGCCCTTTATCTTTCCTTCTATTATGTTCTACAGCAGGGCATATTTAGGTCCTCTCATTATGTGTCCAAAGTACTCAAGTTTTCTCTTTTTAAGGGTGTTAATCACCTTCGTCCTTCTGATCACCTTCGTCCTTCTGAATTCTGCGTCGCAGTTCTACATTTGTAACCTTGTCAGTCCATGCAATCCTCAGCATACGCCGATAACACCATCTTTCGAATGTCTCAAGCTTCTCTATTTCGGCCTTTTTAAGTGTCCAAGCCTCTGAACCATAGAGTAGAGTTGCAAATAACCCCTTAGCATTCTTAATCTAAGCTTTAAGTTGATATCTTCACTGCAGAGACATTTTTTGAGTTTTACAAAGGATGCTCTGGCTATTTCTATTCGAGCTTTTATTTCTGCTGATTGATCCCAGTTTTCGGTCAACTAACTGCCTAGATATTAGAACATTGGCTTGGACATCTTATTATTACATTATTGGCTTGGACATCTTACATTATTGTCTCGAGAATTAGTCAATCTCGACGCCACGCGTCTCGATTATTTTGTTTATTAAATGGCATTAATTTTTGGTGAAATATCGTCTATTTTAACCACTCATCTATTAATGTTGTCGAAGTATTTTCAAACTTATTTTTCATTTTGTCGTTTATTATGTTCCATCCCTATGTATTCCATTTAACAATGTAAAAACCTAATTTATCTTAGTTATACAGTTATCGGGTTGAAGAGCATAGAATTATACTTGCAAAAAACCAGTAAAACACTTTCCCAGATTCGATTGATGATTTTTTTTTCTGTCCACATACCTAATGAATTTTTTCATGTGATGAGATGCTATGATGCTGCACTGATAGATAGCTTACTGAAATATTAATACAATATGAAAATTTGAAAAAATATATCATTCTTTGAATATATTTCATATTATTAAAAAATTAATACAGACAGTAATTTAAAGAAATTATTTAAAATCAAACGACTTTAGTTATTAAAATTATTTAAACCAAAAAAGATTTAAGTTTTCTGTGAGGTTGTAGCTTAGGTAATTTATGTCTTTGTTTTTGAAAAATGTCGGCAGTAAGTAGCTAGGATTTAATTAGGAACTATACGGCAAAATATAGAACAAACACCATAAGAATAACAAAACAGATCAAACTGTTATTACAAACCATAAAAAAATACGTCTTTCTTACGAGATTATTTTTTTTGTAAATAGGGAATTCCTGAAAACGGTAAAAGAATGTATACAATACACATTCCAATGACGATAAAAAAATGTGAACAACGTAAAACTAATTATGTCGTATTATCAATATTCTATTTTTACCTAATGAAGTGTAACAGAAATATGTCGTTGCTTTATTTTTAGACTCCATCATTTGTGTTTATTTTTAATTTCAAAATGTTTTGACATTTATTTTTTAAAAAATGCAAAAATTCATCTTTCCAAAAAAATCCTTTATGGGTATTTCGCTACTGCACTGCAAGAAAATCTACAAAATAAAATAATTATTTTTTTTAAACACTTCTGCGTTAAACCTAAACGGACGCTGCTTGTCAGGAGTTATGTTTATAGTAATACAAATTTGCCTAACAAAGAAAAAAAATGCTTAACGTTTCGGAAAGTTATCTCTTTCCGTCGTCGGAAGCAAAAAAAATACAAAGAATAAAGAAAAAAACTATTTAAAATATTTAAATTCAACTATTCGAGAACACTTTACTTTTTTTAAAATAGATACGTCTACAAGAAACCGTTGACGTTCTGTTAAAATGACATTTTTAACTTGATATTTAAACTTCAAAATTAACACACACATTTACTACCTGATATCAATTATTTAATAAGGTAAAACCAAAAAAGCCCCAAACTTTCTGTATGATTATTTTTAAATTTTACGTATGTTATATTTATTTATCTTGTTGTATCTATTGTTCTTTAAAATCAAAGAAGCGATTGCCATACATTACTAACATCTACAGATGCATGAGCAATACATTTATTTTTATTAGATTGAATTAAAAAAGCCTCTTTTATTTTTCTTTTAGAGGCTGTCGCTTCCTTCATTATAATTTTGGCGTTATTAAAATTTATTCTGTGGCCTGTGTCCCAGGAATGCTGACAAATCTTGTGAAAATCTCCCTTTCTTAAATAATCTTTATATTCTTTAATTGTAACATTTATGGGTCTAGATATTTCACCAATGTAAAATTTATCGCATTCACAGGGTATTTGGTATATTACATTTTTTGTTTGTTGTTCTGTATTCATTGGTTTAGTTATATTGTTTTCCTATCCTTCTTATTTTTTCCGAAACGCCTCGTATGTATGGAATTGTAAGTTGTATATATTGTGTATTGTTATTGTAGAAATGAATACTCACAAGTCGAGTTTAAACAAATATAATTAACAATTAATCAACTTAATACATCAACAAAAATATTAAAACACTCAAACACGTTTCTTATTTACAGTCCCCGTTTCTACCAAACTATCGATCGCCGGCACGTCAGCTGATCTCCGACCTCGCCGGTAGTCGCGGCGTTGCCACTGTTCCCAGTATCGGTCTATGATACTGCTACATCCTCTCCTTTGCTTTCGAGATTTATTAATCCATCAGCGTGCACGAAGGGTCTGGACCAAGTTTAATCCTTAGCTTTGGAAGAGGTAGACCTTGTGGGGAAGTGCTTTCATTTTGGGCTTCTTCTTCACTATTGGAGGATGTTGGCGGATGTGGAGAAATTCTTTCGTCTTGGGCATCTTCTTCACTGGTGGGGGACGTCGATAACTTGGGAGCGTAGAGTTTTAAATATGCGATATTTCACCGTATTGTATTGCTTGTTGTATTTGATTTTAAGGTAACATCGCCTTGGTGTTTATTGATCACCTCGTATAGTTCATTTTGATACGGTGTACTAAATTTGTTTTCCTTTCTCTCTGCTCTTACTAGAACCGTGTCTCCTTCGTTTATATCCGATGTCTTTGCTCGTCGCCTTTTGTCAGCAAATTCTTTTGTTTTAGATTTCAAGTTTGTGTCGTTATCCTACACTTCACAGTGGTCAGGGTGTTGAATTATTTGTTCACCAATGGATGGTATTTTTGTTCGAATAGCGCGGCCAAAAAGAAGTTGCGCTGGAGAGACGCCAGTTACAGGGTGTGAGGTATTTCTATCAAGCCGAAAGTAGTTTTGAAGGTCCTTTTGCTAATCACTTCCTGAGGTACTTACTTGCACTTATGCGGAGCCTTTTTAGTATTGAATTGTTTTGTCTTTCGACCAGTCCATTTGCTTGCGGCCATTATGGTGGGGTTGAATATAATGTAATTCCATGTTCCTTACAAAAACATTTAAATTCATTGCTGATAAACTGTCGGCCATTATCAGCTGTTATAGTCTTGAGTAGTCCTAGAAGAGAAAAGAACTTCCGAAGTTGTTCTGTTGTATCCCTCGAGGTGATTTTTTATGGCGATCACTTCTGGGAATCGACTATAATAGTTAATGATTACTAACAGGTAGATATTGTTAGGCATTGGCCCACAGAAGTCTATGGCTATGTCATTCCAGGGGGTAGTAGGGAAACTTCTCATCTTAAGGGGTTCGGGTATGTTCGTTACGGTGACTAAAGCACACCCATGGCACTGTTTTACATATTCGGAATATATCAATATATTTTCGGCCACCAGGCATAGGCTCGTAGTAAGCGTTTCATATTATCTCTTCCTGGGTGTCCTTCATGACTTAGTGACAATTCTTTGCCATGTAAGGCCGTTGGCATTACAATTTTGGTGTGTCCCCGTAGAAGTATATTTTCATGAAAACAATATTCTGT